TTGCAAAGAAATTTTAGTTACGTTAATATATCAAAATGAAAAATCAGAATGCATATAAAAACAGGAAAAATTACATCGAAAAGTGGCATATCTTTAAAGGGTGGAAGCGCGGGTGTAAGGTTTGTGACGAATGCAATCATCATTCACACCTATATTGCAAAACATGCAAAAAGGTGGCGGATGGAATATATAAGCGATGTGAATGTGATAACGATACTCCGTCATATACGCCATCAAAGATCCCACCGACTTGCGCAAGAACGTGAAGAGGATTTTAGAGGTTATAGTGGGTTTGTTAAAAGATAGGTATCAGCTAGTAAATAAGGTGTGCCGTATAGAAGATATAATCAAGAAAAAATAAGCATGTATAATAGTATAGTAAATTCGCCATGTATCCCAGGGCACAGTCCCGATCTTGTATTTATTTTTTTATCGCTTGCATATACTTCTCGCTTATCACTTAATACAGTAATATGTAAAAAGTAGTGACATCAGAGACTGTGCACTTTTTTGTGTGGCTTATGAGATATTTGCGTAACCGATCGATTTATTACTATATCCCATTGCAAATTTTTTTCTTTTTCTGAACTGTACGACTGTTACCACTTTTTTATCACCATGTCTGACAACGTTGCGAGTTCAAGTTCTTTTACGAGTGCTCCTACGGCTAGTCTCCCGACAACTGAAGAAATTAATGGATTAAGTCGAGATGAGGTTAAAGGATTTTTGCAAGGGAGGAGAGTTGAATTGGACCTTGAGGACGATGATATCAATATAATATATAATCAGAGAGTTAAGGGTGATACCTTTCTTGATTTTATTTCCGTAGATTTTGAAAGATGGGGAATACCGGGCGCTCCTGCCAAAAAACTTGAAAGGTTGATTAAACAAATTAAAGGAGGTAGAGTATGTAAATTCTTTCTCGTCCAGACCATGCCATATTCACCAATAATACCGAATACTTACATAATCTTGTGCTTTGCTTTCCTGCTTCTTACCGTCAAACCCGCCAAAAAACACAATTGCGTTATCGTAGAGCAATCCGGTGCTGGTAAGTGAATCGTAATAAATTGGTCAACGCGAGTGAGCATGAAATGGCTTGATTTTTCGTTGGTTATTTTCTTAGTCTTAATTATGAAACGTCTAATATATAATCTTGTGCTTTTTTTACTTTACTACTCCTTACCCTCAAAAAAATCCTAAAAACACAATTCATGTAGAAGTTAGGAAAAAAATCACTGATGTCTTTCCTGGAGGTATGTATTAAGTAATTCTCGCAGAAACCTCGTTTTTTTACATCGAGGCTGATCGATTCATATGCTAGGATTGCCATACATGAAACCAGAACCTTTGCTTCGCACTTCTGGTGCGAATTGGGAGTATCAACCTGACCCATCTTTGAAGCAGATCTTGCGAGAAGCGCTTAAAAAGCATTATAAAAATTTTACTTTAGGGCGTATTGACAAAAAGTCGGATCTTCCAATATATCTCTTCCTTTCTGGGGCTGGTACCGGAAAATCTCGAAACGCTAATGAATTCCACCAGACGGCAATCACATGTTTGTCAACTCAAGAAGATAGGGAGCTGTTGACCAGGATTAAAGAAGCTTGGGTATTCCATGTCAGCTATGAGAATGGCTTCTCTTTGAAACAAGAAGAATCCAACCCTTATCTTGCCATCGGTACTCGTATGCTATTTCAACTTCTCAGAGAGAAGATGGATCTTTATGAAATTATCGAGACATACAACCCACCAAATCCGATGGATGTTGTGAAATTGATTGCCAAACACTATAACCGAGACTTGAAAAGTGCTACCATCATTTTGGTTGTTGACGGCATGCAACAGCTTATGGAGAACAAAGATGATGGCTTAAAGTTAAATTCTACATTTTACACAACCTTGACATCTTTTGCAGATCTAGCGTTTAGTGGCACTTTCATGATACCCGTTTGTACCTCAACTATCACTGGACCGATTGATGGTACGTTGAGATATTCGACGCGGGATCGCGTATACCTTCCGGTCGCTTCTCTACAATCCCCAAACCATAAACAGGGAGATAGCTTGGTCCCGGTCTTTAAAAATGATAAGGTTACTAACACTCTTGTGGAAGACTGCGGAGGGCATGGAAGGGCCCTAGAAGTTCTGAATGATTGCTTGGCAGGTCGTAGCATTGAAGAATGCAATGTCGATACTTTGATGAACGATCTGCGTTATAACCTTACTAAAAAATACCGTGATGCTATTTTTAGTTCTGTGGAAGAAGCCAGGCCCATTGCACGAGCAATATTGACTAGACGCCTCTTAAATAGATATAAACCTATTCCAAAAACTGACAAAACACCAGATGAATTTGTTGGGTGTGGGTTGATTAGATTTGAGCAAATAGAAAATACTCCAAAAGGATACCTCACTGCACCGTACATCTGGCTCTGGATATTTGTAGAAATGTCTCAACAGTTAGGAGATCCAATACTTCGGGATTGGGAGTTTGCTGATTATGGAGAGCAAAGAGCGCTTTTGAATCCAGTAACATCGTTGCAAGCCAAGTCATGGCAAAGTTTTGAAAAATTTGTCGCGTCATTTCGTTGTATAAAGTCAGCTGTGATTGAAGAAGATGAGCTAACAACGATCTCAGAGGTTCACGCGGGAGCACGCTTGAATGGTGATATCCAATTTAAAAACCATAATCTACAACTTGAAGTTGCAAAACGTCATACAGACACAAGGTCTAAAACTCTCACTGGAAATGAATGGGACGTTGATTGCTATAATTCTACTGTTGATGTCCGACAATTCAAACATTGTATAATTAATGCCCCAGCTTCACCATACGGAGATTCCTTCCTTTCATTAGATCAGCCGGGTACCGAAAGTCTGAATGAAATCCACCAATTCAAATTGCGAAAAAAAGCAGTCAGTAAAAAGGAATACCTAGAAGAACGTGAAAAGTCTGCATCGGAAATTGATTTTTTCATCCTCTATACAACTGCAAATTGTAACATTGAAATTCCGAAAAGATCTGGAATTGTAGATAGAAATGCCTTTACGAACTATTTTGGACCATTTGCTGGAAGAGCATACAGGTCCGCTATGACTGATCCTTCTATCTCTAATAAAGTCAAGAATATTCATACTGTTTCTCTTGGGAAAATCTACAATATGGATCAAATTGGCAAAGAACGAGTGAATGCAAAAACAAAGATACTGATGAAGAATTTTTATTTTCGAAAAGGCCTTCACACGATTTCTCGCATTTTGCCTCGATTAATGTGATTACAAATTAATGAGTTATAATAAAATAATCACTGGCATAGAAACATCTTGTATATATCATAGAAAATTGTAATTATTTTTTGCTTGTTACCTCATGCTATTCTTGTAAAGATTTTTAATGTACTGCAATAAAATTACCGTCTATTTCAAATCTTAGTTCGATAATGTACTACGCCATGTGATTAATCCATTTTGATGAGCCCAGTATTTTTTGCACGTGCAGTTTCAAACATGTATTAATAAAGCATTTTTCCATATCGGGTATTATTTTAAAGCACTTTTTACCGAACATCACGGAAAATAATTTGCCAAAACGGCTAGATTATCCCGAATGTACTGCGCCACATTCTACTGCGCCCTAGTGACATGGTGTCCCGCCTCGGCGATTAGAAAAGATAGTGTTTTCTTACAGTCGTATTTCAAAAATGTATTAATAAAACATTTTATAAAAGTTTTTACCTATATCGGGTTGGTAATTTTTAAACCAATGTATTAATTGCTTATCACTCCACGTGTGTTGACGATAACCGTTAAATATATGCTACAGCCCATAGATTAATACTGCGCCCTGGTGACATGTGTCCCGCCTCGGCAACTAAACACTACACCTCATTGCGCAAAATGGACTGATCATTGAATAAATATTTAAACCTGCCCACATCGGGCTTAGTGACATGTGTTTTTTAGAATTATTTCGCATACGTATAAAATTTATCTGTATTACCTTGCAAGGCTTATCGTTATGCATAACTTATTTGTGAGATGGATCACAATTAGAAATTGCCATTTTTCATTTTTCTGGAATTAGTACTTAAACCAAAGTCGGTCCCACGTATTACAAAAAAAAAAAAATCATATGCTTATCTCAGTACGTGATTTAAAAACCATCGAAGGATTAGTTGGGTTTCGTTATATAATAAATCCAGAGTGTGTTGTAGATAAAAATGACTAGACTTTGCTTCACCTAAATTTAATTGAGAATTTAGATGCTATAAATAAAGTGACTGAGGCTATTGATTATTATTATTTTCATACATTAGCTCATCCATCTCATCGAAGCTAAAGTTTTTGGAAAAATTTTATTGAACATTTTGGTGTGTTCACGTTGAATAACCTTCTCCCCTATGTAAGTTCGAATACCACGAGTAGTCACAATATAGAGCATTTGAAATGTATTAATAAATTACTGAGTGACCTTGTCCCTTTGTCGAACTGTATTAATCAATTTTTTTAAAAATATTATGGAAATCTGTATGAAAAATTAAGTATGTTAAGATGGGGTTCATTTGCACCTAGACCATTCAGGGTTTTCCTGATGATAGCTATTAATTATAATACCATAAGTGACTATTATTGGGATGAAAATGATAAGTCAAATAGTCTTTGTTGTCTCGTTGCTCTTGGTGATTTTGACAAAGGTGAACTCTGGTTTCACCAGTTAAAAATAATTGTTCCACTTCGTCCTGGGCAAGTTATAGTGTTTTCTTCATGCCTTCTTCTCTATGGTAATTTTTCTGTCACAAAGGGAATTCGTCAAAGTGTTGTATATTTTGTGCATAGCTCCTTCTTTCATCATTTGCAGAACTTCTCTTCTGTATATGATGATCTTAAAACCAGTGTAGAGAGAGATGCAAAAGGTAATGTTGTTTCTGGACCAATGCGACGTCAAAATCTTGAAGATGCTTGCAAGTTGAACCACCAGATACATCTTTTTAAACTGAAGGCAGAGCAGATACAAATCCCTCCACAACCTTCAGATCGTAGAAGAGAATGTATTGGTAAGAAAATACATATATAATATTAGATCTTAAATGTAAATAAAAATTAATTATGATGATTATTTCTAGATTTGTCATGTGCCAGACGTGGATTAAGAGCGAAAGACCCATTATCTAATTCATAATAAAAGCGTATATATTATATATTTACGAATATATATATTTTTTATAGAAAAAAATTAATAAAGTTTTTACCCATATTGGGTCTGTTTTTAACCTGTATATATAGAGTATCTAATATGAGTTATTTCGAATGCATAAAAAATGAATCCTGATATTCTATAGTATATCGTACCAAATCTAATAGGTCTAAATTCCTAAATACAGTATAAATCACATAATTTTTAAAAACATTATAATACGTTAAATTACTTAATCATTAAATATGGTCTATATAGATAATTGTCCAGTTTTAAATGATATTGAGTGAAGGGATAACTGCCAATTTCCAGTAATTCATGATAGAGAAACACCATCTAATTGGAAGAACCGAATCTGGAATCAATTAGTAAATTATAGAAATAACAATAAATTAACTAATTACAATAAGCGATATCTTATTGCCAGAAAGATGGAATCTATAGAAGGATTCAGTTATCGTATGGCGGTTAAAATAAATATTATTATATGTTATAGCTGTGATCAGTTTGTTTATGTTGATAAAAGAGTAGGATATGAATTATATCACAATTATAAGATGGAGGAACATTGGCGTACAAATTGTACTAGAAATAGACATTGTGATATATGTTTCAAAGAGTATATGGAGCTTAAACAAAAACCAGAAGTAGAAAGTGATATTTACACAAGGTTAGCTATTTATCGATATGAATTACGAATAGAGAATCTTATCAATAGAGTTAAACATATTCGAGAAACAGCAAAAAAGATCCGAGCATGTACAACTATACAGAGGAAATGGCTAGAGTATTTCTACAGACCCGAAGGTATGTGTGCAACAGAACTTGCTCAACATTATAAACTCTTATAGGGAATTCGAGAGGAAATGCGCCAAATTAACAATGTATAGACTATGTCTGCAAAGCAATTCATATATTTATTTACTTGATTTAATCTATTTATTCGATTTATTAATTATATAACTTATTCATATATATATCTATTTAAAATAAAACAACCTAAAGTATTCCCGAGGGCTAGTACTTTAGACTTTATTTCGTTATCCCTAAGGGCTGGTAATATTTTTTACTTTGATTTTTCATATCAACCTATTTTACCCAGCACAAAAATCTCCTTGGTACAAATAAACTACAGAATTTATTTATTTTTCAACATCTACTTCAACCTCAATCAGGTTGGATACTGATAGCTATTTCATTGGAGAATAGTAGCGAATAAGATGTTAAAATCATCCACCCCAATTCCAATTACGGCTGGATACGGACAGCTTCTTAATAGAAGTGGCAGTAGGATATACTTATATTGTTGTATTAATAAATAACTGAAAAAATAATTATTCGATTGTTATGCCTTATTTTATTTGATTTTAAAGTATTATATCTTCTGAAATATCACACTGATTAGGCAGAATGTTTATTATCTTTTAATTCCTCGATCTCCTTTTCTAGATCAAGAGGGGTGTCTCATCAAAGTGAGAAAGACTTAGACCTGGGTTTATTCAAATCTATAACTATAAACTTTTTTTGCCTCAAACAACCATCAATAATTTTTGAAGCTTTTTGCAGATCTACATCAGTGTAAGGACTTATAATATCTGCAAGTTTTTGAATAGAGCCTCCACCATTAAAGAGAACAATGTGAGTGGCATTTTCATGAATATCTATTGAGATTTTGTGGAATTTCTAAGCAACATAAATTGAGGAAATATTCTCATGACGACCTCGAGTGAAAAATGAAATAATTTTTTTCTGTATAGCTGGGAGGTCAGAGTAAAGATCTTCAAATATCACTAATGTACTTCTTTTAGCATTAAACTTTTTGGGATCTGGGATTTTATCAGGAGATAGTGTAGAAAATGTGACATCTTCATAATAGGGCTTTGATTTGTCTTGGGCAAGATATTTATAAAAATCTTGAACTATTTTATATTTTGGCTCATTTAAATGATGTCCGAAAAGAAATACATTATCGCATTTAACATTGCGTTCTCTTATCTTAGAATGCTTTTTCTTCTTAAACATGTAATAAAATTTGGGCATTGTTAGCAAGTTTAAATTCATATTGGTCTTACCTGAATTGCTAGCCCCTGGTATTTTTTCAAAGGTTTTACCTCATCCATGGCAAATATACAATATAATATCTTTTTGTTATAAATATATATTATGTTTTTTTATTCTGACGAATAATCTGATTTTGATATGCTATTTATATCTATATTTTGTAGATAACCTTTCTCTTGCAATTTGTGTTTTATGTATGGGAATAAATTAGCACCATACAGTATTTCAATAAGATCTATATCTTGCTCTTTGCATATTTCCTGCTTTTTTTGATCACGTTTCCTCTGCGATTCTAGATCATCTTGATTTTTGTGATATAAACTATTGCGATGGTAGTGTTGAACTCCCTGGAATTCGTATGCCAATTTTAGCTCTTCATTATACCCATCTAATTGCATCCCATTCAAAAATAACAGTTTACAAGATGGAAATTTCTTACCTAACAGATCTTCGAAAATATATCTACAGCGACACTCATCGGTGTGATGGAAGCAAAGTGAACACCATTCAAATTTCGTAGCTATTAATAGATATAGATATTTCCACTGATGCTTTCCATTTTCACAAGACCAGAGATATACATCGAAATCATTTATTTGACCAATTTTACCAAGACATTTTCCGTCACGCTTCTCAGCATATGCAACAGCTTTAGCCATTTTATTAATAATACGAATGAAATTAACAGACCTGGAATGAGTGTTTTCCTCCAATATACTCTGAGGCAGATACTGAAGTTTTTCTAGATCAATTAGCATTAATTCTTCATATACAAACCCATGTGTTGGTGTGAATTCTCCATCTAAATAATATAAAACTAGTTCATTTTTCATTACCATGATTTTGCAGATTTTATGTAATGAAGGACTTCATACTGGATCTGTGGCTCTTTTCTGATTCTCCATACCTCCCTCCCACTCTCCATTAGCAAGCAAATAATGAACTGTATCACCCTTCTTTAACTTATTCTCCTCATTTTTTTCAACTGGATGCTTATATTTTGTAGATGGCCTAGATTCTACCTTTTCTAACTTGATGGCTTCCTTGGGAGCTAAACCCCACTTTGAAGAACCTGGAGCTCGGATAAGACGTGTTGGATAATTGTTTAGGTAATCGATAACTTTTGGCAAATGCTTAACCCATGCTCTTATTAGTTTAGAATTTGAAGTTATACTTTCAACAGCATATTGGACTTTATATAGTATTTTTGCTAGAGTTTTATTAAAACGTTCCACAAGAGCTAGACCTTGGTGGCTATATGCACTAATTACTCGAATTGTGACATTATGCGCTTCCATTATTTTTGAAGTTTCGCCTATAAATTCTTTACCACCATCAATGGTTAGCAATTTAGGTCAGGTTAATAGAATTGATAAACTATTATAAATTTTCTTGAATGCTTTAGTAACTTCAAAGCTTTTCTTCGACATGAGAGGAACTGAAGCCTTATATCTTGACACACAATCCACTATATTTAGCACTGCTTTGTATATCTTCTGCTTATAATGATCATGCGTAAGAAAGAGTATATCAGCTTGGTGTACAGAATTCGGACATAAAATTTTGTCATAACTAACTTGTGGAGTATCTTTTAGTGGTGGCGCGTGTTTTTGCCATTCGTTCTGTTTTGTAAGCCACTCACATACTTTTTTATATGGAAACTGATACCCCTCTGCTTTAAGATCTTTCCATAATTTTTGGGGGTTTGAATGATACCCTGTCAGTTGATAGAATAATAATTAGCAAACTAGGGCTAATTCCTCATCAGTACTAATTATGATACTAGGTTGGTTCATTTTCGATACATTTTACTATATTAATAAATTATTATTTGGTAAAGTTTCCAGAAGCATTGATATATTATAGGCTTGTACAATGCCATTAGATACAATAGTGTCTCTACTTAGTGAAACAATCAAAAAATTCGAAGCTAGTTTGCAGATAATAAAAAATCGATTCTGTAAATTACAATAGGATCTAGACTTAAAAGAGAGTTACATTAAATATCTCGAAAATAAAATTTTGATTCGAGATAGAGAACTGGATTCATTACGACAGGAAATTTTTGATATTAAAGAATGGTTAGAAAAAACACTTCGAGATTCTGAAAGCCGAGAGAATTATATAGACTATTTGGAAAAGCAGTTAGTAATTTTTCAAGATAAAATAGACAAGCTTAATGAAAAAATAAAAATACTTATTTTATATAAAAATGGCAATGATAATATAGATTCGAAGAACTATAACCTTGCTATAGATATGGCACAACAACCAGAATCACCCAGATTATCTTTGCCAGAAAACCAAGCTACAATCCAGAATAATAGGATTCAGCGAGAGATTAATAATATTAGACAGTATTTTCAAAGCCTAATCATAATAACACCTACAATTAATGATATTGTAGATTATCTTAATATAATTTCTGATGCTGGGGATAGGTTTGAAAGATTAGTACTAGATATATATCCGCAGGCAAATGCTTGTGCAATTTATGCAGAAAATCAAGTAGCAGATTTGCAGACCCAGTTAACTAATTCACAAATCCAGTTAGCTACACTTCAAAATGACTACGATCTTCTTCATCAGGCCTATGAAGCTCACAGAACACAACACAATATATTTAAATCTCGAGAACTTGATAGATGAATTACAATCCATATGCAAAAAAGACAAATATCAAAATTGCTTCTAGAAAATTTTGCATTGGGATTTAAGAAAAGACGAACACAACAGCAACTACAAGAATATAAGACAGATGAAGCAATTACTACACACTTCTTAAATCTTACAAAAAATCGATACAGCAAATAGAAAAATAAATGCAAGACTCTAGAAAATAATTTATTACTTGCTGATGTTTAACTGGACAATAAGTGGGGTAAGTGGAAAAATCATGCTCGAAATTTTGAACAATTAATAAATAATTTACAAGCACAAATTTTATTGTTACATAATAATCCACCAAATATGGCTACAGTTGCGAGAGACTTAACCAGTATTGCACTATTAATTGCAGAGATTTCAAATTATAGTGGACAAATTCCACCAGATGAATAGTATCAAAGAATTAATCAAATATTAACTTTACCATCAATTACGGCAGGTGCCTTTAATAATGCACTTTGAGCAAATATTTTAAAAAGTAAGATGGCTGGAAAATATACAAATATACCTGCACAATACCCCGTAGGTACAAATATTGATACTCCAGCTCGTTTTATTGTTTGGTTGTGTTATAAATATCAGACAGAGACAGTTGGAATACAACAAGTTGCTACTCAAAAATTAGCACAAGAAAAATTCTTACTATTTGATAATCCAGAATCATATGAGGCTAGAATCCATCCTCTTTTATTAGGGGTTGCTGATGGTGATGCCAATATCTTAGGACTTCTTAAGGGTCATTTATCAGGAAAGCTTTATACTTGGATGAAAATCACTAACCCTGATGGCATTGATGCATTTTTTACAGAACTTAAAAATATGTGGTTAGAATGTCCTCCAAATTTGTATAAAGGCTCCATTCCTGACCAAATCTCTCAAACTTCAGCTGTTAATATACAAAATAAATCATATTCCGATAGTAGTAGTATATCTCGAGCTGAACTAGATAGTATGATAAAATCACAATTAGCTTTAGTACCAACTACTTCTATTCAGTCTTCACAGCTACAGAAAACACAAGCTTTACAGTCTCAGCAAAAGCAACCTAATTTCAGTGACTACCTTAGAGTACCAGATAAATATATGCCAGAAAGACCACCAGATAAGTATGGTGTAAATTCTGAAAAATTTATTCATTGTGATCTTATAAACCCAACTCCTTCAGCCAGCCAAATTATAGAATCTTTAGCTAATGATCTTTATAAAAAAGTGTCAGATATGTTTTCAGCAAAGCCAGTGCAATCAAAGAAAAATATTGAAGTTGACTCTGATGAAGAACTAGCTGATCGTATGGTTAAGTTATCAATAAATAAGACTTTGTTGAAAGGTTTTGAGGCAGAAGTTCATGCTGTTATTAAATCATCCAAACACCATTGTTCAAATTGTAATAGAACCAGACACAATTCTTGCAAGTGTCTTAGAAAGAAATCTAAGAATTCCAAGAGATCTAGTAAGTATAAAAAAGGTAAGATTAATATGGCTATCAATAATTCTGGTTCTGATTCAGATTCTAACTCTTCTGATAATAATTCTAATTCTGCGTCTAATTCTGATGACACCTTCTCTGAAACTGAGAATATGAATGTTAACATTACCAGGTCAAAAAAAAAGTAAACCAGAAGAGTAGTTCGAGCAAATCATTATCTAAAAAGGTATCCAAATCTCACAAGATCGATAAGGAACCTAAGTCTCACAAGAGGGGTGGGAGTAAGCAAACAGTTTTAGAACAAATTATTTGTAAAATTATCCAAAGTGAACTTAAAGATATTTTACTTTCATTATTACAGGAGCTTAATTTTAATAATAAAAAATCATACCATATTCAAAATAATAATTATCAAGAACTAGCTCTAGAGATATCCAATTCGGTTGAAGATAAGACTTTGGATGACCCTATGGAAATTGATTTTGTTTGTCAGAAAGAAGCCGATACAGGTATTGCGACTATACCATGCAAAATTAAGTGTTTAAAAATCTCAGCAATGATACTTGATAATAGGGCTGAAACTGAGATCGTAACAGAAGATATTGTTAAGCGTATAAATAGAAAAATTGATAGATCTGTGAAGTATGACCTTAGTGGTATTGCTACTGTTCCAATTGAGTCTATTGGTATCATTCGTAATTTACCAATAACACTAACTCCTGATTGTACTATATATGAGGATTTTGTAGTTGTGAAACATTTCAAGCCAATGTTAATATTTTCAAACCGACTTCTCAAGAAATATAAATGTGTTATTGATTGGAATAATGATAAAATGAAGATTCATCACAATGGAAAGGATCATATTTTTCCTGTAACTATGCATAAGGTGAAGAATAAGCTCAAAGTAAATTACGCTACTGCGACTCAAGATGGCTCACATAATGAGGATACTATTACATCTAAGCCTTTGGTATCTGATCAAATTTTACAGGAAGTAGATAGTGATAAGGATGACAGTATACCATTGGAGGAATGGCATGCTCCTGCGGGTTTTAGCTCAGATTCTGTTGATTCGTCATTAAAAAAAATGCATGAGCTATAAGGAGTTAGAAAAATCGCTATATACTACCCTCGCGTTTAAAACTGAAATAAATGATCTTTGTGAAAAGTTGCAAATATGTTATGAAAAGCTACTCGAACATATCTCCTCTAGAGATGATAGCGTAAATAAAGAAAAGATAGACTAAGTAGTAGCTAATAAGTGAGTCATATTTGCTTTATTTTTCTCATCTCTTCTGGCTTCTTTTTCATATAATACACTCAGATCCTCACTACTTATTTTTTCTGTAGAGTTATTAGTAGGTATTGAACCAGATATGTAAGAGCAGAGCTTATTATTACATAATACAGTTTTAGACCGAGATTTGGAACTTCTCTTTTTTATTTCTGTATTGAGGGGAGTAGTAGATTCTGGATATAAAGTCTCTCTTCTGATTTGGTTAAAATTTTCAGATGAAGTTGATGGGACTAATGTGGAAATGGTACTTTGTATTATTTGTTGCTGGCATTCTTGATCTTCCCATATATCATTTACTCGATGTTCATTAATATGAAATTCTCTCATAATTCTATATTTAGGAACCTTATCTTTGAGCGATCTAATTGTTTCTATCTGCTCAGAAGTTAGATATATAGATTTTCGGCAATAATATGATTTTAGAAATAGCATGTTCATGGTTTGATTTTTTATCAAATATTTAGAATGATATTTAATATTTTAGAATAATAAAAAATAATATCTAATATTATGAAACAATAAAAAATAATATCTATTATTATAGATGAATGAGAAATATTAGTATGAGCAAGTCTTTGGCTAATAAAAGGATTATAAAAATAATCATTATATAACCTAATTCAATAATATCTAATATATTTTTTTAATAGATTAGGATATCTAACATTAAACATCATTAGATAATAATAGAAATTATTAACAAAATTAGTTTTATTAATAATTATATTATCTATTATTTAGCGAAGCAAGCTAATATGGCTAATGTATATACATTTCAAAATATTAAAGGTTATCGACTTGGTAGTATATGTGAAGAAAAGCTAGAAAAAAAAATACACGATGCTATCAAATCCAAAGCTGAAATTAACAAGCTTAGCGAAAAATTACAGGATAAATACATAAAACAAATGAAGGCTTTTGATCGGGAAAGAAAGGAGTGGAATCAGGATTTATTACGAAATAATACTGAGATTCAAAAATTACGCACCCACACTTTGCAGGTCATTAATGAACATAAGCAACTACAAAATGAAAATACTAATCTTATTTCTCATAATGTACAAAAGGATATTTTTATTGCTGAATTCAAAGCTGAGAATATTACAAAATCCAAGAAAATCAAATCACTCGAGTCTATGATCAAGATATTGGAAAGTAAGTTGTCTTCAGCCCAGAAAGATGTAATTTCAATTCAAAATGACTCATCGAAAAAAGAATCCAAGATCATGTCCCTCAAATCAAAAATAGCTGAATTAGAAAATATAAAGAGCGAATTAAAAGAGGCGAAGCCTCGAGACTATGTCTCATCGAAGGTCAATGAGTTTGAGTGTCTGAAATCGGAGACTATATCAAAACCCATAGTTGGTGGAGATAATGAAAAAAATATTACTAAGTCTGATAATATATCTTTGGGTAGTACTGATCTCAGTAAATATTTTATATGTGGAAAAAATATGGATCAAACTGAAAAAACTGATGGTAATATATTGACATATACTAATGATGAGATTATCAAACTATTAAAAAATAATACCGAGGCCAACTCCAAGGTAAGTAATGAAATTAGCATTAGCAAAATTAGTGAGAATAATATGTCTGCTTTTATTGAATCGAATTCTCAGATGAGGCCTGGTCCCGAGACTTTGCCTCTTCTTGCTATGGCAAGCACTTTGATGTTACCACTATCAGCATATATTTTTCTTATTTTGTTAATTATTGTGGTTATGTGGTTCGTGAAACATACATGGAATATAGGTAGGCTCAAAGAGCCATTGCTCCACAGGCCGAAGGAGCGACTCTAAAGAGTCATAAAAAAAGTGATCGATTGCGGAATATGTGGATCGGGTGAACATCTATTTAAACTTGGATATTATTTATGTATGAAAAAATATTATTAATATCTTAGTAGATTGTGGCGATCTTAGCTAAGAATACTTAACAATATAGGGCAATGATATCATCAATGTCTGATAGATCATCTTTTTATTGCCATATGTGATTGATAATGCTTGAAGCCAGGTAATTTCAAGGCCAACCACCTTATACCATGTATTCCAGAAATCTATTAATTCTCGACACTCTGATTCCAAATCATATAGAAATATATATTGTTTCAGAATTGTAATTTTGGGTTTGCATTTTTGCACCTGCATAATTAAATTATACATCGCATTTCTATATCCTAGATTAAGCTTAGACAATTTTGAAAGTAGATTCAATAATTTCGAACAAGTGGTGTCTGTAATTTTGTCTAATATATTAAGGTAATTATTATGCTCTACAGAGATGCCTAAAGATCTGGTTATGCCAGCTTCACTAATACCAGAACATATTTTTTTAGCTTGAGTAGTAGCATTTTTCCATAAATGGGAGATAATGGCTTTATCTTTTTTCGGTGCATCACATAAGTTCTTAATATAATTTTTGAGCCATTTTTTAGCTGACTTCTGTGACTCTTCATCTTTAATTTTTGCTATTTCATCTTCATCTAGACTCGGAGAATCATTGCTCTGCAATAAATCTTTAGCAATTTTTAATTTCTTCTTCTTGGATTTCTTTTTGCGATCTATGACTTTTGAGAGAGATTCAGGTGATGATTGATATTTATCATCATAATTTATAAAACAGGCATAGAGACCAAATAGACTTTCGATATAATAATTAATATTTATTTTCTTATTGAACTTTTTTACCACATCTGAGTATTTTATACAGTCTCCTTTTTGTTGTGGTATTTTTTTTTCACAGTTATCATAAATTTCTTTAGGTACTACCACAATGTAACTAAATCGTTCACTAGGTTTGGGAACTTTATATAGGTATTTGTTAGCAGGTAAACCCTTCTTTATAAGCTGTTGATTTTCTAATACTTCACGAGAATACTTAGCCTCCATTTATAAAACAAACTGCTCTACAGAAATATTTCCTCACTTACCTTCTTTTTTAGGCCTCCATATACATGTCTGAATAAATTCATCATAATCTAACTTGGAAAGTTTTTCCACATTCTTCCAAAGAACTTTTTCAACAATCTGGTGTACTGTCTCCTTATTACCGATTTTCAAAGTTCTATTCATAATCTCCTTACCTACATTACGGAAAAGCTTAGATTGACCTCTTTTCACAATATCTACTCCTCTAATAAAAAGCTTACCTGAATTAAAGTTTGGTTTATTTTTATACTCTAGACCATAGTATTTTTTCTTTCCTGTAAATACCACAGAAAATAAGACCTCCTCATATGCCATATTAAGGTAAGGCGTTCCATTGTCTTTTTCAAGCTCAGTATTTACTTCATTACAGAGGTTTGCCATCACTTTCATAGATATTGTTGCCATTTCCTCCCAGTACTCTTCTTGTGAGAGTTGATCTAATTTATATTTTCGATCACATTCCTGGAAACACCCCTCTGGATATGTAAGATATAAAGAATCGGTATTTCCATATTTAACGCTGAACTCTTTGTTTTCAACAAATTTTTTAACAAATTTAATATTATGCTGTCCAGCAGAAGTAACTCCACCTGCTAACTGCAGTTAATAGAATAGAGAGAGATTATTATCTGCCTCACCATAAAATGTATTCATATATAATTTTATTGCCTTTTGTTTTGAGTCTAAGCAACTATATTTGAAACTTTCTTCATTTAATTTATTAAGGCATTTTTTCATTTTCTTTTGTTTATTAAACAGATTCTCCAATACTCTAGCATATAAACCCTTTTCTTCAGGTATATTATTGTGGCGAATAGACCAAGCTTCTATAGTTTGACCATTGAATAGAAACTTAATCATGTGGATCTTCTTTCCACTGCGAATTACATTTATCGCCTCTTCACGAGATAATATTATTTTATCTGGTGAAAGGTTGTAAGTCATTATAAGACTTGGGTATAAGGAGACAAAATCTAAGCCTGTTACTGGATGTTTGTTTTCAAGACCCTTTATCAGTGTAATAACATAAGCTCCTGGATACTTACCAGATTCTGTATTTTCTGAAGCAATCATACTACATAACATATTACTGCTCCAAGCTTCAGCTCCCAAAAGATTACATACTTTCATACCTGCTGCAAAATAGTGAGCATCAGAAAGAGAAACATATGCAATAGATAACACCTCCCAATAATCATTAACTACATTATGCTTAACCATAAGCTTCTGGCATCGCAATGCATCTATAATACAATAATGGGCTATTTCACGCATGTTTTTGGCTGAGCTGTCAGAGTTTTGAAGTATAGTATCTTCGTAGTATTTCCACATTTTATTATAAGGCATATCTGCCTTACTATCCAACCCACAAATATTTAGATAATATTTCAGTGAACTTGTCTCTGATTTTGGATATAATTTTTTGAAACAAGCATAAACATCAATAGGTATACATCCTGAGATTTTGAGATACTTTGAGTAGAATTTCTCATCAGATATCTTTATCTCACTTTTTCGATATTTCCATTTTATAATTTCTTTAATGTTGGATGAGTCAGGTGACATGTGATTGAACATCCATTCAAGAATGCCTAAACTTTTAGCTTTTTTTATAACAAAAGGCCAATCATACTGTGAATCATTAAAACCTATCTGTATATCAGGAGTTAAATTTTTTCAACATAACGCAAATGCCTTTAGTATATTAGTCTGGTTTCCACATACAATTGTGATCCAGCTGGGATCAGGCTTTGTTTCCACATCAACTAAACATATTTGCTTTAATGGTTTGGGATCATCTTTCTAATGAATAGTCATACAGATCATAAATACTTGATCTTCATCATTTTTTGCATTAGGTAGATCTCCTATTTTGCGGGCACTGTATGTTTCTATATTCCACGTAAGGACAAGAGTGCGATCATGTAAGAGAGCTTCAGTTATTACCTGATCATCTGGCTTGTTTTCTTCTAGAGACTGATAATTATCTACAGATATGTGAAAAAAATAGGAATAATGTGGTGAATTCGTATCAGAAATATAGTTATACCCACTTAGTATTGCCCTCTCAGAAAGAGGTAACTTTTTTTCATGAGCTATTTTTTGGTAATAATGTTTGCTGGTATCATCGTCTGAAGCAGTCCCCATCTCATACCTATGGACCTCCCTCAAAATTCGTCTTCTATCATAATGGTTCCATGTAATAATGTGAATGTATACCTTTTCCTGGGTGTGATATTCACGAATTGGATATGCGTGAATGACTTTCATTCCAAACTTTGATTTATTAATCTTTTCTGCCTCCAATATAATTTTTACTAATCTTGGTTTGAATATACATCAGCAAAATTATAGATGCGAAATATTTCGAAAGAATTTGCATAGCGCAAAAATTTCGAAATAATCCGAAAGAAATTTCGAAATTTTTGCGAAACGCAAAATATTTCGAAATATTGCGAAATAAATTTCGAAATTATTGCACTATGAAAAAATTTTCGCAATATTGCGAAAA